GGCCGCCACCCAGGCAAAATTTAAAAATTTCCTACCAACTGAAAATATTAGGTGTGTTCCGCGCGCTCATATGACCTTATGTAGTTGCGAGCGCCGTAAAACACTTTACAAAAAACAAAAAAACAAACCAAAAAAAAAGCACACAGACATCTTGATCTTGCACAACACAAACCTAGGTCAGAAGACACACGGACATCTGACACAACTCACAAAATAATTATCGCTCATCATCCCATACTACACACTGGCGTCCAACACAATATACAACAAAACCACAAGTCATTTTTTTAAGTAAGATTTTTTACGGCACTTGCAACACAATAAAGTCAAATAAACGTTGAAGATTTAGGTGTTACAAGAGAGTAACAAACACAAAAAAGAAGGAGAGGAGATAGAGACGATAGTTTTTTTATAGGAAAGAAGGAGCAAACCACACCAGAGCACTCCCCACATGTCAAAGTGCACACTGGTATTTGACACAACACACAACACTACCATTGGAAACTGTACACACTGACATTTGAATCAAGAAACAACATTATTATTGGTAGCAGTACATGTTTGCCATGTGACACAACAAAATCATTGGTCATAGAAGACTCTGACACAGGCATAAGAAACAACACACAACATTAGTATTACGCATTAGTTACATACAATAGCACATATGCTGGCAGGGATCATGAGGTACATGATTTCACTGGAAACAAAAGTAAAATGTTGAAATAGCAGAAAACTTTGTGGGCATTTTAGAAAATAAGTTTGAAACCAGTTAGCATACACTTCCCATGAAGGCCATTCTTTGAGTGTTTAATATTCATCCCTTTGGAGTGGGGTGGGGGGTGCATTTTGATGTATAAGTCTTGATCAAGAGTGCCATAATGAGGTTTACCTAACCCATCATCGAGCACCTTAGTATAATGATAATGATGTTCATTGTGCATTTGAACCCCCAATAACCTCCTAATGACATAATGAAAAAGCCAACTTGCAAGTGATGGGAAGAAAACCAAAGCACTAAATGTAAACCAAAAGTAGCTGACAGATGGTAGATAGGGCGTACTTTACCACTATCAGGTAAGTTCATCGCAAATTATCCAATTTCAGATGAGTGTCAGAGAATTCTTTCATAGAATGACTATAAAACCACAAGAACACTTTATCTTCCTGTTGCCTACAATTTTGCTTTTTGTTTAAGTTGATCATTCTACAAACTGGTTTTTAATTTTTATCAATGAATGAAGATACCATGACGCCATGAGATTTTACTAACTGAACTGGAAATTCAGTGTAATATAACAAAGTGCATCTGTTTTAAATCGCAATGTTTCAACTTACAATTGGAGCTTCTTTGTCTTCTTTACTTCAAATTCTCCAAAATAATCTCAGGGGTAGTCGACTGCTGGTTCTTCACCTGCCGTGCTACTGATTTTTACATGTGCCCTTTGCCCTGTACCTTGCGACCCACCCTTTGTCCCTTGCCATGACTGTTTCTCACCTGGGATAGTGCCCAGAGCGATCTCAGGCTGTCCAAACTGTGCCTTCTCCCCGGCATAGATGATGTCACACATCATGGCCAGCTCACAGCCACCGCCCAGCTGAGGGAGGACAGAGTACGTGCAGGGTCAGGCAACACAACACACACACTCACCTACTTACGTACACATACACAAAAATACACCCACACATATTCAAACACACAGCACAGACATATGCACGCATGCATGCACGCACACACACTCACATACACAATGGACATAGACTATGCAATAAAAAACTGAGCATAATATTAAGCAACATATGGACTTGAAAAAAAGAAAATGTACATGAAGCATGATGTGTATACGACGTAGGTCAAAACACTGGTCTAGCTGCACAGAAAGCTTGGGGAAACAGTCAGTCAAGAGCTTAAGTGACACATAATGTAGTGTAATAAGCAAACACTAAAGCAACTTCATAAAATGTCTTTCTCACACAAGGAGGAGGAACAAAACATAAAAGGACCAGTCACCACACAAATTTATATGTATACAGTCTAGCATGCACACAGCAAAATCAGTGCGACATGGAAATCTTTTCTTTAAGTACAAATTTTGCATTTACGTGGTATAAATACAAAGAATATACATGTCTTAAAAAATTTTCGAACCTGAACATCAGTTTGCTATGTGCGTGTTTCGCTATTTGCATGTTTGCCAAGTGCATGTTAAACTGTATGCATAGGAATATATCTATAGAGAGGCCTTCACCAACTTTACACAGATACCAAGCAAAACTGAGATAGAGAGACAAGGACAGAAATGGTTTGCAGAAGACAAATTTCAGAAGAAAATCCATTCATAGCTGAACTCAAGAAAAAAGACACATAAATGAAAGAAACTATAGGTAGAAATTGAACATGATAAATAGTGACAGTAACACGTTTGCTTTCGTGTGATTTAAAATCCTTTCTGAACAGAATAAAGTCATTTCAAATGCAGCTTGAAGGAACTATTGTATGCTAGACTTGAACGACAACCAATGATCTTCAAAAAACAAAGGTGGGGGGAAAAAAACATTGTACGTTCCAAGAAAAGATGCCAGCCCTGCCAATAAAATGGGGTGATGGCATAAATTATGTGGCACCCCACCAAAGGGCGAGTTGGGCCCATAACTGTGGTCCAGCAGACTGTTTACATACCTAGCCCATTTGGGGAGGTGACCAAGATAAATAATGTCACAAAAAAGCAACAAAAAAAAAAGCAAGTCAACATACAGCGTAACCATTGACTGCAGCCAGAATCGGCTTTTTACATCTGACAAACGCATCAAAATCTGGGAAGTCTGCGGTGAGGACCTCATGAAATGTTTTCTGCATCATTTCCTCAATGTCAGCACCCACTGAAAGTAGAACAGACACTCATCTAAAACCTGTGTCTTCAAGAAATGTGAACTTTACAACTCCCCAGCCAGTGGCACTGGCATGTTCCGACACAAACCAGGAGCACCTCAAAGGGAGACATGTCAAGATTCCCACATCACAAACTGGAGGGTAGATCTAAAAGACAATTCCCAGCAAGACAAAGAAGAGGGAATAGACAAAACCAAGAAAGCAAAACTGAAAAGACCTTTCTCTGATCGGAATCTCTTGTTGTTGAATGGACAGTGCATTACTGACCTCCCAGCCTGGTCATCTACAACATAGCCATTGACCACTTGAGGCCCAGTCACCTCGTGGCTTTGATACCTACTGAATATATGAAGCTCTGTTACCTATTGACACCTACTGACCATCCGAAACCCTGTCACCTATAGACACCCATTGACTATTCAAGGTCTTTACATACCTATACATGTAGACACTTACTGACCATTCAAAGCCCTGTCTCCCATTGACACGTTGACAGTTATTGACAATTCAAAGACCCGTTCCCCCCTACTGACACCTATAGTCACCTACTGATCAATGTTGAGGTCCTGTCACTAATTGACACCTGCTGATCATTTGAGGCCCCCTAATGACACCCAATGACCAATCAAGACTGTCACTTATTGACACCTACTGATCGCCCAAGGCACAGCCACCTAATGAAAACATAAGGTCCAGCCACTGACAACAAGATAAGACACTGACCGCCCCAAGCTCTTTAAGATATGACATAGCCACTGACTGCCCATCACCCGTTACCTACAGCATAGCCATTGACTGCTGCCAACAGGGGCTTTCTACACCTACACAGGGCGGATTCAAAGCCTGGGAAGTCGGAGCCAAGAACGTCCTCAAAATTCATGACACACATCTCTTTGATGTCGTCCCCAACTGCAATGGAGGAACAAACGATCAGACATCAGCAGCAAAGTTGGCGAACTCTTGCATGGGGTCACTGGCCAGGCACTCAGAGAAAAGTCCCATTCACCTCAGAGTACACTTGGCCACATTCGGCAGAAAGAAGCTTTACCAGGAATGGTGTATCCTACATAGGTCGGGTAGAGAAAAAGTATTGGGCAGAGCATTTCAAATATGGGACTGATGTAGCTTCACTGCAATGAAAGTGTCTCAAAAGCTGATGCAAGGAGTCTACAAGCATTTACAAAAGAATGCTATAGCCAGAAGATGGGGAGGTGGAATATGGAAAGGGTCAAGCAGCAGTGAGACAAATACCATGAGGACCAGTATGTCAAAAACATTAAACTAGATCACAAGTCTCCAATCTACAGCAGGAGGGTCACACATTCAGCACACAAAGAGATAGTACCTGCTTCACTGCAACTTTGAAAATTTAACCATGTGAGGGAGCTGGGTGAAATCAGGCGCTCAAAAAACTGAAATCTAGGAAAACGACATCTTCACGCCGCTCTTGGTAAATTTTATCAAATTTTTGTTTTTTGGATCAACACCATTTATATAATTTTAAAAACACATTTCTGAGAGAATTTTGCTGAAAAAAGGCACAAAAATATAAATTTTCAGTTTCCAAGGACTCTCAAGCTATGGAAGTAATCAAACTTTGGCGGCCATTTCCCCGATATTTTACCTCTGAAACCAGGCGACCCCCACTTCCTTCAAAAAGAAATATCTGGACTCCTATTCAAGATAGATGGGTTTTGGGTTTTTCATTGAATGTAAGACAAATGAAAAAACTAAGATGATACCATTAAATCTACATGTCCAAAAACTTGACGAGCGCCTGATTCCATCATGTCTTGTCACATATTTTATTTCCTAATCGTCTTAAATATATTATTACATATCATGTTTTTTGCTACAAAGCCCCATATCATTTTGTTATACTCGCCTTATTTCCCTCTAGTTTTGAATCGTGTCATGATGACAACAAAGTTTAAAATAACTCCTTTCTTTTAAAATGTTGTTTCTGTAATTTGTTTAGCAGAATTTTTTGCAGAGGGAGAAAATTATCATTTTACATAATGGCCCTCAAACAGTAGTTAAGAAACCGCTGTATTAGTTTAAAATCTGCGGCAAACAGTTGGTTCAATTCAGCGTACAGCAAATCCGTTGACAGCAGCCAGGACGGGCTTCTTGGAGCGAGCCACGCGATCCCAGCTCTCTAGAAAGTTTGAGTTGAAAACTTCCGCAAATGAGTCAAACTGCTGCATATCTTTGATGTCCGCTCCCGCTGAAAAAGCAAACAGTTCTTGAGTCTTGATCTTTTGTACTCTATAGTGGACATTGTATTCATTCCTCTAATAAGATTCATTTATTGAGGTGTTTCAAAATCAAGAAAAAAATTTAAATTCAGCACTTTCTAAAACCACATTCACTATTACCAATATTGATATAAAAAAATAACTAGTAAGATAACTTTTAACATCTTTGACTTCTTCATTTCACACAGCAATTCCTTTATGAAGAGTGAGGGGAAGGATGTGTGGATAAATAAAATTTGCTTTATTTTACCAAGTGTTACACACTCACAAAACAAAAATTATCCCTCCCTTCCTTCATCACTACTCCTCCCTTTCTCTCTCCGAGTCTTCTTACAGATGAATTTTTTTAAAAATTACTATCAATCCATTCTGTAAGCAATATGTTTACCTTTTCCTTTCCTCCAGCAACAGGAGTCAAGTTAGGCTGCAGAACACCACAGACAGATCCTTCATTGGTGTGGTTATCTACTAATGTTTTCTTATGACACATCCATCAACCCATCTTTACTGGCATCTTGTGGTGTAGCAATTAGGCACTTTGCCGTTTGCACACAGGAGACGTGAAGGTAAATCATTATCGAGTATCTTTGTCGTTCAGATGGGACGTTGTGTCCCCATCGTCCTCCGTACCTAACAGGCAAGGTCTAAGCAGCCCACCTACAACATGATCTAAACGTAGTCTATGGGGTCGTAAAGTTTCTACAATTACATCATCTTTACACAGTAAAAGAAATATCCAAACATGGTTTATTTTTCGTTTTTATAAGACTGGAAAGAAGCACATAGACATGATTATTACCATTTAGTACATGGTAAAAGTAAGACAAACAGAAACAACGGTGGGAAAGGAAAAAAAAATAGAACCTTATAATAGCATCTTCCAACCACTCACCCTGTATGGCTGTTCAAGAGCAAAAAGTGGAAGTGGTCTCTCTAAAGCTTCAGGTCCAATACAATACAGAAAAGATCACTCTAACCATTGGTGCCATAACTAACATTACCCCAATAAACAGAGAAGATATCAGAGGGACAGGAAACTACAGTATAATCCACTTATATTGACAGCAGATGTAATGACATTTATTTTGAAATATCGACATATTTGCCAATTACGAATTTTTCCTTCAATATCTATACGAAACAATTCCTCTTGTATAGACTTTTCGGCCCATTCTGCTTTATCGATATGCTTCCTGGGTACATGGTGAAGCCCATGAACATTATTAAAGGGAAAAAGCCACACTAACAGTCAACGCATTAGTTTTTCATTAAGTCCGCATACCCACCAAGTAGCCTACTCGACACACCAGACTTTAGTAGGTCATATAAGGCCTACACAGTGTAGTTTCCAACACAGTACAGTGTCTCACAAGCTGGGCATCACCTCCCAGCCCCCGCTCCCGATCGCCCACCCCCTTCCCAAATCCCATTCTCAGTTCGTCGCTGACAAGCGCCACGGTCAGCAAGTCAGTGCCTCGTCTTTCCATTTTCACTTGCAAGCGGCCGTAAACAGGTCTTACACAAGGATGCTACAACAAACTCCCACTTGTGTGCAGTGTGCGCCTCGTGTAGCTCGGTTTCAGGTACCGTAACTCCATCCCCCCCCTGCCTCTGTGTAGTTGTGTAAGAATCAATGGAAGCAACCAGCTTTAAAAAAGTAGTGTTGTCTTTTTACCGCTGACCTTACCTTGTTTTTCACTCTTTGGCTTTATATTTCATTTATCGACAATTTTATATATCGACATCAAATCCACTTCCCACAGAATGTCGATATAAGCGGATTATACTGTACATTCATGAAAAGAAAAAGCCTGACCCTAGTTAGAAGCAAACTCGGTCTTTTGCCATCGAAAGAAATACAGTATGTACTCTCTACACAGAGAGAGAGAGTGTGCATGCGGCATGCTTGGTGTGTGTGTGTGTTAGTGTGTGTGTGCGCGCACGCGCGTGTGTGTGTGTATGTATGTATGTCTCTGTGTGTCTCTGTGTGTGGGTTTTTTGGGTGTGAGTGTGGGTGGATGTGGGTGTGTGGGGGTATGTTCACTAGTATTGTGAGCAAACCACATAAACTCTCAACACTGACGGTCAAGATAACGAGGCTGCCTGTACATATACCTGCAAAGGCTCTGTCGCTGCCAGTAATTACAATAGCTCCGATATCTTTGTCTGCCTCTGCAATGTCAAGGGCAGCACTGACATCACTTATGAGAGCGTCACAGAGGGCGTTCAGGGCCTTGGGCCGGTTCAGCTGGATCAATAAAACATTCTGTTTCTCCCCTCTTTTCTCCACTTTGATGTTCTCATATTCTGCGGTGAAAAAACACAAACAAAACTCGTATTTAAGGGAGTCTGACTCCACATCTTAGCTTGCATAAAGTAAGCTTTAACCAATCATAGACCAATGCCAAACAAAATAGGTGAAGTTTTACCATTGAACACACACACAAAGAAGGGTGGCTTCATACATGGAGCACTTGGCTTACAACTAGAGATAGGAAAACTATAAAGTAAATTCAAGAAAAAAGATAAAGATAACAAAATTACACAAAACTAAAATCTTCCATACGATACTTGATTGATGTCTGTGAGCGCTAATCATCACAGGCATTGCATCTCACACTGATGCATAGTGCATCTGTTTGTTTTGTTGTTTTGTTTTTTAAGTAGGTGTGTTTACCCAATCGACATAAAGGAAGCAGGCTTACAACCCTGCTCGTCAGGGCCAACCTGGTCTGAAAGGGATACAACACCCCATCAGAAACAGCACCTAAACATTAAACCACATACGCCAGTGCCTTGCTGTATGGGCTTTTACTTTTTTCTTCATATATATTGAAATTCTTTATGATTGATAGTAATATACAATCTAAATCCAATGATAACGTGTTTTTACCCGTCCTGTAAAGCTATGAAAAATGTCCCCCACTATCTTATTTTATCTTATTCCCTTACAGAGTGGTGGGCTAAGGTGGACTGCTGGTATTTTGCTTTTCAGTTGGATAGATTTGGGTAATGACTTACCAAGAGCCATCTCAAGAACAACAAGCGAACAACACGGGCACAACCTTCACCTTGGCTAAGATGTGGAACAACCTTCAAGTGAATGCAAGCTACATAACACAACTGACAACTTCAGGACCTTATCCATCCTCCTCAAAAACAATCAAGAATTTCAGGAAAGTCCTGAGAGGGCATATTCCTAACCACATAGAAACTAATTACAAACATACCCTAGGGGCCATCTGGCAGAGTGATCACTGTCTACTCAGGATATTTTATATGGCAAGCTGCTTTGGTTCAGCTCAACACAAGGTGGCCTGGTTCAAATATTATCCACTGGAGTATCAGATTACAGCAATCCTCTATATCAACCAATGCCAACTTGTAAATTCATCAAGATAATAATCTAATTAAAACAGTTCTTTTTAAATGACAGAATTATGCAAGTATGTTTTAGTTTTAGTAGAGGTTTTACGGCGCTCGCAACTGCATAAGGTCATATGAGCACCAAGGGGGGGATGTCAACAGAGAAGTCCTTACGGGGAATCAGACTTACTCTGCTCACCTCTCTAGCTTCAACAGCACAAAGACTACTTCGACTATTAAGGCACCCCGGAATAGTGGGTCACCAGAGTGTGACAAACATACAAAAGAAGTCGAAGAAAAATGACAATAGTAAGGATTAGGAAAGAAAAAGCAGCAGTTCCCTGCTGTAGATCAGGCACAGGTATGAGCGTATGAGCGTGACATTGATGGACCAGCCCATTTACAATTCTACTGTGCATGAACAAGAAATGTTCCCCCTTTGGGAATGGCCTAAAGACACTTCAGTCAGTGGCACCGCCCCGGGGGGTTGCATGTATGTTGAGGTGGTACAATGATACAAGTAACAAATCATGAAGCCACGTCATAGTTCAACAGCAGCTACATCTATACATTCTGAAGTCCAGTTGTCACCTCTTCAGAGGTAAAGATGCACAGAACAGACTATAATTCAGTTTCATCATGTGAGGCAAAAAAGTATGTCATGGAAAGTATGTCATGGACTGTCAAACCCCCTTACTCTGCCACCTGTTATACGCCAGCCCTACTAACCACCAAGTTTTGCCAGTGTATAAAAAGGACAGCCTTTATAAACAAACTATTTGCCCTTACTTTAAACTGCCAATAACCAACTGCCTGCATTGTACAGTCCTTACTAAACGTATGCGTAAATTTACCACGCAACACCAACACATAAAGGGGGGGAGAGATGTTTGTTTTTGTAAAGTGTTTTACGGCGCTCGCAACTGCATAGGTCATATGAGCGCACGGGACACTCCTAATGTTTTCAGTTGGTAGGAAATTTTTAAATTTGCGCGGGTGGCGGCCTAAGCCTACTCTTATCGAT